TAGAAAAATTAATATTACCCACTTTTTAACCTTTTAACACCCATTAGCGACATATATACTAGAACGAAGTATATGAAACGGAGCTCGGCACAAGGGTTTAGTAAGTGAATTGGCTAGTTGAACTGATGAAGAGACAGTCACAGCCAAATTGAATGTTAAATATTGATAATAACGCAAATTATTAAGTTTTTCATCTATTTATACTTGTATTTGTACAATAAATTGATGCCTAAATGCACTAAGTACCTTTGTATTTTTTAAAATGCAATTTTCTTTCTCTTCTTTTCAACCACATATTTTTTATTAAAATAATATTACACGTAAATCAAAAAAATTCTTATTTTTCAACCACACATTTCACATCAATTTACTATTTTAAAATATATTTTTACATAAAAATGACTATAAAACACCCCCTTAATTTATTTTGTTTTTTATTTTTTAAATTGTTTTAAAGTTTCTTTTTTTATTCATATTACAAATAATTTTTTTGCGATTTAAAATTCTTTTTAATTCTATTCGTTTGATGATAAAACGTAATTATTTTATTTTAATTAAATAATATTTTATTTTAATTTTAATTATTTCAATTTAATTAAAAAAGTTTATAATGAACTTTTTTTTTTTTGTATTTTTGCCTACAATTCTTTTTTCTCTTTAATTTTATAAATCATTTAGTTTCTTTTCTTTATTAGTAAATATTACAGTGGAAGTGATGTTGCAATGAAGTTGCATATGAAAATGGATAAATGATTGAAGACAACTTGATGTCGTCTTTTCTCCCATGATGAAAAAATTTAAAATTCTTTTTAATTATTTTCTCTTTATGATAAAACTTAATTTTTTTAATTTTTAATTAAATAATATTTATATAATGTTTATTTAATTTTCATAACTTTCTTTTGTGTAATCAATTTTTTTTTTTTGGTTTCCATTATATATTTTTCTAAAATTGTTTTAAAATTTATTTTTCTTTGTATTATAAATAATTTTTTGTTCGATTTAAAGTTCTTTTTAATTCTTTTCATTTTATGATAGAACGTAATTTTTCAATTTTAATTAAATAATATTTATTTTTAATTTTAAATATTTCAATTTAATTTAAAAACTTTATAATAATCTTTTTTTTTTCTATTTTTGCCTACAATTCTTTTTTTTATTCTTTAATTTGTTAAATGATTTAGTTTCTTTTCTTTATTAGTATTGGATTGGATGAAGTGAAATAGTGTATGAAAATAGAGAAATATTGTAGTGGAGGTTATGATTGCAGTGAAGTTGCTTGTGAAAATAGAGAAATAATTGAAAACAAAACGATATCGTTTTTGCTCCCACAATTAATTATTTTTTTTTAGTGTGTGATAAAATAGAAGAATTCACTGTTCCTGACTACAGTACCTCCACATTCTATTTTTTATATAGTAGGGACAAGTTGGTAAATCTCATGAAATGTGTGATTAAATAGCAAATAAAAGTTATTGATCAAATAAAACGTGTGGTTAAAAATGCGGTTTAACCAACTTTAAAAAATGAAAAATGAAAAAATTAACTCAAGAGCTTAGTACTTTATAAGGACTTGGATAGAAATTATCTATTTTGCTAGGGTAATTGTACTGACAATCACCGAACTTAAACCCAACAGTAAATAGTAAAAGATACACCACAAAACAAAATAATATTGTCAAATGGAAGTGCTTTAACTATTAAGTAACCAAATTCCTGTCAATTTGAAGCTCAGTGACCTAATATCAGCTGAAGTAAAAGTTTTGCGACGACTAGTATAAATAACCTCAAGTCCACGTGGAAGACCACGTCAGCAGACATTAGTTCACGTTTACAAGTTCTATTACGTTGTTTAATCTCACACCAATAAAGTAATTTAACAATGACCTAATTATATATAGGTCGAAATTTGACGAACGCGAGTACAGTTAACACAGTTGGCGACCAGGAACGAATACTATAGAAAATAAACTAAACAAAGGGTTTATGAAAACACAGTTGTATTGATCACTTAAGATATATTTATATAACTTACAAAACTCGTGTAATCTATAAACTACTTTGGTGTGATATCTTATTATAGAGACAATAATAATAATAATAATAATAATAATAATAATAATAATAATAATAATAATAATAATAATAATAATAATTTCTCCCAACTACATCTAACTACAAGAATATATCTTGTTATAAGAGAAAGGATCTGCGTTGCTTATCAGAAGTTAAGCAACAATGTTATAAAACATCAATTCATTGCATATAATTTAATTTCAGGATCCATCATAAACCTACATATCAATTATTTAATGTGTCATGTTATTGTTGTTTAACTAGATCATTTTTCATTATTATAGAAATAAAAAAGAATATATACAAATAATTATCCCAACTCCATGCTAAGAACATGTTAATCTTTGTGTGATATATTGTTTATAGAGATAAAGACAAATAATTAGAAAATAAGTTATCCCAACTATATGCTAACTACATGTTAATCTTGTGACATATCTTTTTATAGATATAAACGAGAAAAATTAATATTACCCACTTTTTGATCTTTTAAAACCCATTAGCGACATATATACTAGAACGAATTATATGAAACCGAGCTCGGAACAAGGGTTTAGTAAGTGAATTGGCTAATTGAACTGATGCAGAGACAGTCACAGCCAAATTGAAAAATTGAATGTTAAATATTGATAATAACGCAAATTATTAAGTTTTTCATCCATTTATATTTGTATTTGTACAATAAATTGACGCCTAAATGCACTAAGTACCTTTGTATTTTGATTTAGATTGCAAAATGAATGAATACGATGAAAAATAGAAGAAACAATCGAAAATGACTAAAGTGGTCGAAACTGAAAGTTCAAGGATCAAGTTGCAAATAATTTAAAGATGAGACGGGCGATGGAATGATGATTCAAGAAGGCTGGGGATCAATTGGGTACAGTTAGAAGTCAAAAGAAGTGAAATATGGCCATAACATTTTCACAAATTAATTTTTAACAGCACAAGGATGTTCTAGATTTTCAGTTGGAGATTGAGATCCATTTTCAACCTAGTAAAATCTTGAATTGAAAAGATCTATTTTCTAGCAAAATTGTATCTCATTATGTTAGCTTTCCAATGTAGCTTGAATTGTCTCAATCAAATATTGGGAGAAAAATTTATGACCAAAATACTGAAAGTTGTTCGGTGGAAAAAACTGGCGGAACCATGCGACCGTAGCCATTTGTTCCATACGGTTGCACACGGTAGTTTAATGAGCTCACAGGCTGCAAATCTTTGTTCCATGCGACCGCATCAACTTCTACCATGCGGTTGCACTGTTCAATTCCAAGCGAACGAAGTTCGATTTCCCAATTTCAATCAAACACTTGTGGAAACACGCCTCCATGACGGTATTTAAGCCCTAGGTCGTCTCAGAACGTAGGAGACACATCTCGATACATATTTTCTCTTATTTTTGCGCAAGATTTCCATAGAGAACTAAAGATCTCGGTGAAACTATGAACAAACTCAGTTGGTTTTGGTTAATTCAATATCTTCTTATTTATGTAATTTGCTTTTTTCATTGTCAAACAATTCTAAGGTTTAGATTTCCTTTTCATGAATATGTTTTGAGATTTGCTTAACGTTTATTAGATTTTTCATAAATTCGGTCATACTTTTTCTATCAAACAATTGAAATATTCGTTTAAGTTTTAATTTCAATTATTTACTTTATTGATGTGATTCTTTATTGTCTTATACTTGAAGTATATGGTCGATCTTGAATCTTATTTCAATAAATAAATGTAGGAATGTGTTTTAGGATATTTATAAAACTTTGCAATTACTGTAGATTTAATTGGGGTTTCAATGACATATTTTCCGATTAGAGAGTTAGGTAGAACGTCTCTAATTGAGGCATAAGAGTGAATTATTAATCTTGAATGATCCAAATAAATTGAGGAAATTCTGGTGCTTCACTAATTCAAACCTTGATATTTAAACTTTAATTCGGTAAACAAATCATTTTCACACAATTCACGAGAACCTATTTTGCTGAATCCTTTAACCAATTCATCCATTTGCCTGCAGAATCGACACCCCAAAAGTGTGCTACAATTAACACGTTATTCTTTGGTTAGTTTTTCAATGTCAGGAAAATATGATAGCAAGCCAAGATCCTTAATGGATAATTTAGATGCTAGTTGAGAGATAAAGTCATGAGGAACGTCTCTGCATTTCGCGTGTCGATAAGATCATCCACATAAGCCAAGAAATATATAGTGCGATCATGATTATGATAAATAAAAGAGGGTCAGGTTTTGATTTTACAAATCCAAGTGTAGCAAGGAAAGTGTGCATGTTTTAAGTCATAAATGGCCTTATAAAAGTTACAAACACGACCAGGTTCGTTATGATCAACAAAGACAGTGGGTAGAGCAATTGTAAATGACCTCGATCAGTTTGCTACGGAGCTTGACGTTATTTACATCGAAGTATCAAATAAAGTAATCGAAGGCTAGGGCAAGATTTAAAATAAGTCGAATAGTTGCCGGTCTAATGATAGGACTAAGAGTGTCATGATAGTCAAGTCATGTTTTAGTGATAGTTCGTGATCACTAACTATATCTTATATGAATATGGGAGTCGTCAACATTATGATTGACTAGGTATACATACTTGCAGTCAACAAAATTTTAAGAAGCGTGCTATTTCGTGTGTGAGGGTTAAATTCATCGGTTGATTTAGTACAAGTTAATCAAATAACTATAAATCTTAAATTCACGACACTACTAAGCTTATATTACTGATCCCCAACCTAATTTTTATTTTATGGAATATACATACATAAATTTCTTAGTAACTTGAATTATTTTTTGCCACGCCATTCAATCTTTAACAACTGCAATTTTATATAATAATGGTTTCTATCCTCTCCACGCAATTGATCCACACATGGCCGATGAAATTATTCAAGAAAAAGAAGGCATTGACCAGAGATAGAAAGACAAACAATTGCATTTCATCAAAGAAATTAAAGTGTAGAGATGCCCAAAAATTATTTGTACACAACCCAACCCGATAAAAAAGGTCAAAATTTTGACCATGGACAATTAATTTATCAAATTTGAGCAACGACTAAGATTATTTGATGATCACAGAGAGTTTATTAAGCTGATGAAGACGACGATGAATGGCTGCGACAGAACTGAGTGTTGCTACTATCCATTCTTTCCAGGATGAAATGCCCAAGCATGTCTTTAGATTTCACCAAATTCTCTTTGCACAAAAATTCATCACTTGTAATTCTATCCACCTTCATATTAAAATCATGCACGAAAATATGCGTTTTAGGATTGGCTCCTGCCTTTTTGCTCCGGGCAAGTACGCCGGAGGTGAAAATCGCCGCCATCCGACCTGGTGCTTCAGGCCAGTATCCACGTGGGCCGTCCACCAATATGATATCCCAATCCACCTCATATAACTGGTTCGGAAGATCATTCAATCCCAGCTTGCATTCTGAAAACAGAAGATTTTGCACTGGCCTGCATTCATTCTGCATCTGTTCTTTAACCGATGAAATTAGCTCTTTCACTTCAGTTATTTTGGTTGAGTACTGCACGTCGTAGGCTTCGATTTCTGGGTATTTTTCCTCGATGTATGCAGCGTAATACCGATTTTCATCGATGAAAACGGTTCTGCCATTAGGGTTTAGGGCTTTCCAAAGAAGGGTTTCGTGGGTTAAGCCGAAAACCAGGAAATTACAGGGGTGTGAGCATTGCCGGAGAATGTCGGAGATTTGTTTGATATCCGTATACGACATATGTTCAGTGTTGTTTGAGTTGGAAGCGTAGTGGACTAGAGCTCTTACCACAGCCTTCGAAAGTGGCGGCTTGTTGACTCCGGTGGTAGCCGAGGTGGAGACGCCGCCGCCGACGGCAGTGGTGGTGATGGATTCTCTAGTGTAAATCAGTGTAAGAAGAAAAGCCAAAGTCAGAAATGAAACAAAAGCCAGAAGCCATAACCGGTTGGACCCTCCTTGTTTTTGGATGTAGGGATGAAGAAGAATCAGCTTAGTGCTATTGCTAAGATTGTTCTTCATGACTTGAGAGAAAGGGAGAGAAAAGTGATTATTTTTCACAGCTTTTTCTGAAAATTACAAGAAAATGGCGTGATTTTTAAAGCTGCTTATGCCCTAATACCCGGCTAACATGAAGACGACATACATTCCCACCAATATTTAAAAATGTAGACTCATTTGTTTTTTTTCAAACTGACTTGACTCATTAATGTCACGTTTGATTGGCTATTAATTTCTATTTTTTTATTTAAGTTTCAACTAATAAATATAAAAACTCATATTTGACGGGGTGGTTGGATGGAAGGGTACTGTTTCAGCGACTCGGTAACTAATTACAAGCCAAATGTCGCTTTTCCTTGTTCATTCAATAATCGTTTGTTCAAGTTACTTATTTTAGAATTATTAGTTGAGGGAGACAAATTACCTTCTTCCTTTTTTATATGTCAGAAAAATAAATTGGTGAACGGCGTTCTTTTAAAAACTAATAAAAAGAGAGAGAGATGCAGTACCCCTAGTGTTTGTTTTTAATTATCTGCTTATTTTATATTCTGATTAAATACAATAGAGTTGGAAGTGGACAGACGTTTAGCTTCTACTTGGTGGGGATTAAAATCAGATATTTAGTAGATTTAATAGAAGTTGATGAAATTAGAAGTTGAAAAATTGTGAGTCTCATGAAATATGTGCTTAAAATTAATTGTTGACTTTGATTTAGATTAAAATCTTGGTTTTAATTTTTACCAAATAGGGTATTAGTATTGTGTGTTATGAAAATTGAAAGATTATCTTGGCGTTAATGCTTAGCCTTTATAAACAATTTAATTTATAAATAACTAAAAGAAATTATGGGATTGTTTGAGCCCCATTACTTAGAAAATAATGCATTATTCTATAATATTTTGACATCATTTCAACCACATATTTTTCAATAAAATAATGTTACACGTAAATCCAAAACTTTTCATTATTTTTTAACCACATATTTCTCATCAATACACTATTCAAAAATTCATTTTTCCTCAAAAATGGGGCTCAAACTAGGGCTATAAATAAGCGGATAGTAGTTGTGACATGTGAGTCAATTAAAATGTGTTATTGGAAAGAAGTTTGATCATTTATAAATTAGTCAAATGGAGGCTTAATAACTTGACACTTTAATCTAAATTTAGTTTCCCATGCATTATATATATATATATATATATATAAAACCCAATCAATCTAAATCTGGATAAAAAAAATATTAATTCAGTGAGTTTGCATTAAATAATTTTTTTAAAATAGTTCTTTTTGTTTCACTTATGTGATACATTTTGAAGCAATTCATGACTACATTGAGAATGCTCTTATAATTTTCAGTCCATGGACTAAAAGAGTGACCATATTATACATTATTACTTTTGAAATTAGTTTTAGGTTTGAGCAATTATATTCACACCATAATTTTTATTATTTGTATTATATATTAATTATAATGAATATCTTCTATGTTTGCCCATTATTTTTTCATTATACAAACCTTTTTCATCAAATTTATCCTTAACCATTAATTAGTTAATACATCATGTATTTGATGATGATTTTTGTCCAAAAATTTTACTAATGTGCATTGAACGAGGAGCAAATATTTTGTCAAAACTTTTGTATTTGTAATTTATTTCTCAAATAAATCTTTTTATGCCCTTTTTGGACATAAAATTAATAGACACAAAATGTACAAATTATAGAAGATTGATGACAAACTTTGATGACAAAATGTTGAGAATATAAGAGCAAAAATGAGCAAAAATTAAGAATATTTATTATAATTGAAATGTGATAAACAAATATTGTATGTGGATGTAATTATTCATAATCTTTCTATCTTTTGAAGCAAGAAAAATATATATGAATAAATACAAGACTTTTATAGACCCCAAGTTTCTGATATGAGAAGTTTCCCGCAGAAACATCCCCAAAGACACGTTACCGGTTCAAAGATTGGGATTGCTTAGGAATTTTGTTGCTTTAGTTCAACTAATTTAAAGCCGTCAAAAAGGCTTTACAGAGCTCACTAAGAATTCCTTTTATTTTCAAATAAAATATTTCTTTTTATCATAATTCTCGTCAAGGTCGAAAAACATTAAAATGTTCACATTAAAACAAATTTTCATTGACTTTTTTTTATTTTTTTCTTAAAAATCATTATGCCCCTATTTGACAACCATTATTTTGGAAAAACAATGTTTTGGAAATTAATTTTTAGAAGGACGATTGACTAAAAAGTAGAGAAAATTTTTGGATTTACGTTTATAATATTTTATTGATCAAAATTTTATTTTCTTAGTCAACTAACGGTAAATTGAATAAAATCCATCTGTTTGGACCCCAGGTGCTAATTTTTCAAACGTTTGGAACCTCTAATGATACAAACTAAAGGTTAGGACAAACTATGTAAAAAAATCAAAGATTTGGAACTGCAGTAATTTTCCCAAAATTATTGTCAAATAGGGGCTACATGTGGCAAGTTTTATTAATAATAAAATAAAATAAAAAAGGACATAATGGTCAATTAAAAGTGCAAAAATAATATTTTAAATGAACTTAACTGGAGTTAAGCTAAAACCAAACTTCATTAGCTCTAGTCGTACTTTTTCTCCTCAAACATCGAGTGTGTTGACCTCGCGAATTGGACCCTCCACGTGGCCAATCGATAGCTGCTCCACGTAATCCTCCCTGCGCACAGTCAACACACAGTTAGATGCACACGACTGAAACCAGATGGGGTGGCGACGGCCGCATACACTATGACGGTCAAGTTAGTTTCTGGTGATCGGAACAGTGCCAAAGTTGTGCAAAAAGGGTGAGGAGGAGAATATATATTTACTTGTTATGGAGAGCTAAGTTGTAAAAGTTTCATTCCCTTTGACAAGTCAAACCTTGGGTATTTATAGTTGAGGAGAACCGTTAGATGTAGGACACGTGTATGCATCTGACGGTGTGAGGCGTCTACTCATTGTAGTTAATCAGCCGCGTCTATAGAGAGGGTGGGTAATAACTTCTCCCGAGTTGAGTTGACATAAAGTTGATACGTCATATCAACTAGGCCCATGGAGACGTCAAATCAATTAAACCTTAGGGGCAGAAAGGATCTTGACAATCTCTTTCTGAAATTGGCGGCGGATCCTCTGACAGAGATCCTCAGAGTGCATTGCGCTTCAGCGTCAGAGACAAGAACGCTTTGGTTGGTTCAGTAGAATTATTTGTGCCTCGCAGCGCATTAGCAGCTCGCCAACATTAGTGGTGGAGTCATTTCGGAACCACTACGGATGGGTGTTGGACACCTCGTATGATGCAATGGCAAACTTTCCGAAGTGGTTCAGATAGGGGTGTAACAATGGTCCCTCCAAGTTCAGGCATGAATATTTATATTATGGGTGAACTTGTTTTCTCGATCGGGTATGCCTACCTCGGGATAGGAACCGCGGTTTGTGAGAGCTTGTGGGTTGGTTTTCTATGTTCACCGAAGAGATGAAGGTTGTGACATATCTTCGACTGACGCGGTAAAGTTTCATTACTGCCTAAGGAAGGAGCTTATCCACAACCGATGTGCTGGCCAACAGGACGATGCGTTGGGAGACAGCTAAAGCTTTATAAAGCTCAGGGGGGATGCAACTACCGAGGTGATGTAACACAGGGGACTCCGCGTCAGGTGCGTCTAAGCTTTGTAAAGCTAAGTGAGGAGCTCATCTGCCACCGGTGCGCTAACCCACAGGGGACACCGCGTTGGGAGATGGCTAAAGCTTTGTAAAGCTTAGGAGGGAACTCAGTTACCGAAGCGATGACCTATAGGGGACTCCGCGTTAGGTGCGTCTAAACTTTGTAAAGTTGAGTGAGGGGCTCATCTGCCACCAGTGCGCTGACCCACAGGGGACGACACTTTAGGAGATGGTTAAAGTTTTGTAAAGTTTAGGAGGAAACGCAACTGCCGAGGCGATAACCCACAGGGGACTCCGCGTCTGGTGCGTCTAAGCTTTGTAAAGCTGTGTGGAGCTCATCTGCTCGATCTGAGGTGAACATTTCTGACGTTAAGAGATTTGACAGCTATCACGTATTTCCAAGGCGACAGTTGTGTATGATGCCCATTCCCAGAAAAGGCTGCTGCGGCTTCTTATTGTAGAAGACTGATGGTGATCGAGGAGACGCATTTCACGTGAGTGTGAGGGTCATAGCTAGATCTTGGCGTAGATCAAATTTGATGTTTCATTTCAACAGCCTAGATTGATGATGCGACGGACAATCTAGATTGATTGCATTTGAATTCAACGGTGGAGATCAGTTGGGACGCTCTATAAAAGACGGACTTGAGCGTTTGGGGAGGTTTTCACTTTTGTGAAATCAGAAACTCCATTTGCTCTCAAAACTCTTGCATTTTATGGCGTTCTTCAAGCATTTTTCGACGACAACTCCAGTTTTCGACGACTCTACAGTGTTTCCTGACCATTTTGGGCTGTGGAACCCCCGTCTCGTGAGTTTTAGTAAGTATTTGACATCTTTCATTTCTGAAAAAATGGCTTCTGAGGGTAGTGGTCGCTCGAGCAGGGGGCTGGAATTAGTACGAATGGACGAGCCCATTTTGGCAAGCGATAATTGGGAGGAGAACGTCTGAAAGAGGCCTGATAGCCCAGTAGACACGTCTGTGCATTGGGGGTCATCGGATTACCCTTCTAAGTTAAAAAGTGCCGACCTGGATAGACTTAGGACGGAATATAGGATTTCAGGCAGTGTAGATCTGGCCTACCCGAACCCGATGAGAGAGCCTACTACCCTAGGCCAGGGTGCGTGGCAATTAGCAAAGTGATTCTTAGGGATGGCCTTTGGCTCCCAATCCATCCTTTCTTCTGCCTAGTCCTTAGGTTTTATGGTTTAGCTCCGACCCAGTTGAACCCAAACTCCTAGAGCCAAATAGTGGGCTCCTGGATGTTATGGAAGGAAGTGTCACTTGGGGTAGAGATGCCTTTTTCTGTCTTCAGACCCTCTATATTCCCAAGGTAGTGGTTGGGAGGATAAGACCAGGGACTAATATTACCTGACTTCATGAGGTTCCCATACTCCATTCGTGCTCGATTTGCTGAGCTCCATTAAAGAGTAGAAGATCTCGTGGTGCTTGGCTATGGGACA